TTGAGAGAGTGGACATCGCTTTACAATCTAGACTTTTCTTCACAGATAGTGAAGGTTTCAGGGGCCCGATTCTGTTCAGTAAGGTTCTTTGTGGGCTGGTATCTGCTCGTGCTTTATATTGTCTCCCACAGATTTTACTGCCGTTCCTCATTTTTTCTGTTGAAACCCTGTGGTAGATGTAAAATAGTGGCAAGCCCCTGTGACCCTGTAGTCTAGCACATGGTTACCTTGAACTGCAGGAGTGAGATAGGAGTCCAGTGTATGCAGTCGCAGTTCATTTAAAAAATATAGAAATAAAGTCATAGAATAAATATGTGGAAAAGAAAAGAAAGGAAGCATTACTTCTGACACATTAGAGATAGGAATGAATCTCAGCTTTCTGCCTAGCAAAGCCCACATTTTCTCCAGTGTGACCTGCACGCAGAGTTAGGTACCTTAAGTACTATATTGAGAACAAGAGGCACATCCATATTTCCTGGATAATTTCTTTAGCTTGTGATTAAAAAAAACTCACATCACTGTCAGAAAGACACTATAGACTTTCTTTCATGTAAAACCATTTTTTCTGTATGCACGTAATTTTTCATTAACTACCTCCTGGCAGTGAGAGGCTGCAGTGTGAGCTGGTATATTGCAGCCGTCAGCATAGCTGCACTTTGGATCTTGCTTTGTCTCTCCAGGTGTGTTCTACTTTTTCTCTTCCCAGGTTAGAATTTTAGTCCTCTCTAGACTGTTAAGTAGGTTTTCACATTAGTCTCTGGTCACCTAGCAGATCCAACTTTGACTGAGCACTGTAACTTTATTTTTTTTCTTATGATCAGCCAGCCAGTAAGGACAGAGTAAGTACTGCTCTGGTTTCTTGGTTTAGGCCCAGTTTAGGATCTTTCATCTGACAAAGCTCTCTGCCTCAGACTTCTTCACAGAGGGGCTTGTGACAATGCATGAATGTGCGTTTTCTGTCAGACTTTCCTCTCAGCCCTGTTCTATTCTACTTCAGAGTAATTTTTCAGCTGTTCAGAAGAGTTGTTAAAATTCAGCTTTGACAGAAAAACTAATTCATGGTTGCAGCCTGTCAGTGAGATTTTCACAATTAATAGTTCAGCCTGTCCGCTGCAATGTTGTGTGCTGCACATACCCATGACCTGACTTTCCTGGTGGTGGTGTTTCTAGGAGTCTGCTGTTAAACCGAGATTCACCAATAATGTTCTCCTACTGATATAGCACCTGTAGGCAAGCTAGTGATTAGAAATTTAGATTGAAAAGCGTGGCATCTACCAAAAAATGCATATTTCATAAATTATACCTCAGACACCCTTTCTGTCCATGTCTTAATAAGGACTATAATTCCTGCATGCATTCTTCTGCTTCTCTCTCTCCCAAGGTACCTACCACCTGGAGATTCCCTGTATGCAGATTTATGGTGCCCGTAAAGTGCACCAGCCACTTGAAACTGACACTTTTACCACCAGGTCAGTCAGAGCCAGTGAGTAATCAATAGGTTCCTGATTTACTAACTGAAGTGTGGGTGATCAATAAGGGATAAACCTGAATGAAATACATGTTACAGAGACAATTTATGACCTCTGAGCCTTTGTGTGTTAGAGGCAGGGCTGCTATATGCCGAGTCGTTGCTATTAGTCTCCAGCTGGAGTATGATTTGCCTTTACTTTCACTACAAGAAGGGATTTTGAGCTTCTCGTATTCTGTTTTAATTTTTCTCTTTTTTTTACCCTCTGTGTAATCAAGAGGTAAGAGTAGATGTGGTTTGAGCATGGAGCTGAGAGCCAGGAGCTCTTACTTGAAATCTAACTGTAACACTTGTGAACTGTGAAAAATTGCATAGTCTCTTGGAAATCAGAGTGCATGCTTCTTTCCTAGTCTGTAGTGATTCTCCACCAAAGATCAGCTGGCTAATGTTGGTGTAAGGTCATAAAATTAAAAAGGGAACCTCATTATTATTATGTGATAAAATGAGTTGGATTATTACATATAATTATGTAGTTATCTAGTTAGTAGTCTAGTTCTGTGTCACTAATGCAAAATAAAAAACTGAAGTTCAACTTGATTGAGACTACCTTTTCCTTGGGCTATGTGTGCCTAGATGTTTCAGAATACGTGTGCTAAAATACTATATAGCCACTATCATAATCATGTGTAAAAGTAGTTTTCAGCATATGCACAGTCACTTACAGGTTAGTCACTTATGTGTACAAACAGATTTGAATATGCAGTCTACAGGTGTGCTCATTTCTTCAAAAGCCTTTAGGTCATGTTTTCAGGAGACTTCTGTGTCTCGTTATATTAATATGCATTCCCAGATTTGAAAAGTTGGCTGTCAGTGAAACTTAGCACAGTTTAAACATTTTTGAAACTATCCCTTAATGTCAGATTTAGATGACAGATCTTGTGAACTTCTTGTAGAACTTCAGAATTTTAGTTGAGAAGGCAGAACAGTAGATATTTCTTTCTTATTTTGTGGTTGCACATTTGTTACAGGTAAGTAGGTAGACTTAGCAGCATTCAAATAATTTGTAGTCTTGGCTGATACTGGAAATTTTTTGTGCTTCCTACACAGTTCTGCTGCTTTTTTCAGAAATGAATTTTGGCATGGAAATACAAAGCCATGAACTCTTCCTTTAGTTATCTGTAAAAGATTTCAGTACTTGATAAATGTGTTAAACTGTTGTGGATTAGCTGAGTTGTCAGCTAAGCTACCACGCAGCCGCTCACTTGCTCCACTTCCAGCTCCCCACTGGTGGGGTGGAGAGGAGAAAAAATGTAACAAAAGTTTTGAGGGTCAAGACAAGAACAGGAAGGGATTACCCACCAATCATGGCCATGGGCAAAACAGACTCAGCTTGGGGACAAATCTATTTGATTCATGATCAGTTACTTCAGAGAGGATAACGAGAAACAAACCCAGATCTTAACAACACCTTCCCCCACCCCTCCCTTCATCCTGGCTCTGCCTTCTTCCCGCAGTGGCACAGGGGGACGGGGAATAGGGATAGCAGATCAGTTCGTCACACACTGTTTCTGCCACTCCTTCCTGCTCTGGGGGAGGACTCCTTAAATTATTCCTGTGCTCCAGTATGGGGTCCCTTCCCACAGGAGACAGTTCTTGAACTTCTCCAATGTGAGTTCTTCCTCCAGGATGCAATCCTTACCCATCAGATTGCTCCAGCGCGGGCTTTTCCCACAAAGTCACAGCTTCTTAGGGTGCAAACACCCGCTCCAGCATGGGGTCCTCCACAGACTGCAGATGCATCTCTGATCCAATGTCAGTCTCCAGCAGCATGGGATCCTTTCCCATGGGAGACAGTTCTCTACAAATTCTCTTAAGCACAGGCATCTCTGCTCCAGCATGGGGTCCTCTCCCACAGGCTGCAGGCGAGTCTCAGCTCTACGGTTAATCTCTATGGGCGGCAGGGGGACCACCTGCCATCTCACCATGGGCTGCAGTGGAATCTCAGCTCTGGCACACCTCCTCCCGCTCCATTTTCACTGACCTTTGTGTCTGCGTAGTTGTTTCTCTCAGGTCTCAGTCCTCTCTCTGCTGCAGCTGCACTGGGCCTGACCAGCCTGACGAACCTTGGCAGTTCCAGCAGGAACAAACTCTGCCCAGTGGGCACCAGTCGAATGGCAGGAGGCTGGAGGGTGAGGGGCAGCCTCCCCCACCTCTCCCCTCTTTTCACTGCAGGTCCCGCATGGTATGAGTTCCTTTGTCCCCTTCTTAAATATGGCATTCACAGAGGTGCTGATTGGCTTGGCCCTGGCCCGAGACCAGTCTAACTGGTTTTGGAGCTGGGGAAGCCTCTCTCAGCTCCTTACAGGGGCTATCCCTGCAGCCTTTCCCCTGTTACCAAAACCCCACCACATAAACCCAGCACGTAAACTTTCAGGGCTTTTTTTTTTTTTTTAAATAAAAATGACAAACTTTAAAGACACAGAAGCTTTTCATCACTTAATCATCAACATTTGTATGGTTCCAATCTTTATACCATGTAAGCACCACACAATCTCTAATGGATTTTATTTGCACTGTAGTTCCGCATTTTGCGTGTCAGATCGGATGCAGAGTGACCAAGGAACTTGCCAAAGAAACTGCTATCTCAGACAAAGCAGGGATTTTAACCCAACATCATTGATAAATTATGCATTTGTATTCATTATGGATTGTATTTGAGAAAGTTCTCTGGTCTGCTGCCAAGACTGTCTTTTCTGAATTAAACTTCTCTTCTTCCTACATCTAGAACTTGGAGGAGTACTCAGTTCAAGTCAGTATCAATAATGCAAGTTTCTTCTTAATTGGCAAGCGGTTAAACTGAAGTGGTCATCAGTAGGCTTCAGACTTGATATGACTGGGAGAGATTATGCCTTTCAGCCAGTTTGCAGGTGCAGCAAGACTGTATTCCCATAAGCCAGATTCAACTGTTTTCACAGTGTGTTGATAAGGAAATCATAATTTTGAAAATGCATGAGACAGTTTTGCATTCCTAACTTTATGAACTTATTACTGTAGTGGAAACAATATGCATGGACATTTGGAATACAGGTACATTCTGACATGGCTCTACAGTACTATATAGGTTGCAAAGTAATTTCTGAATAAAGGAGCAAGTATCACATGGCTCCTTTAAAGAGCAATCTTGCAAACATTTGTTGCACTTGTATAGAAGTAATGGTAAGACGTGTTGTGTCACTGCTTGATCACACCTTTGCTTACACAAAGAGTTATTTTAAAGTTAATACAAAAGCAGATCCTTCAAAGGCTATGAAATAATTATTCTTCTGAGCAGTTTATGTGTGTGAGGTCTTAAATGGGAGCATAATGATATATTAACAAAGAATGTGAACAAAACTTCCCTGAAAAGATTTTGATTTGTGCTGCCTACTATTTAAGAAGCTGATGAGAAGATGGGAGTTGGAGGGTGATTGGCCAGAGTCTTACAGGATGGTGATACTAGAACAGAGTTTAATTTGTTTTAATTTCTCTATAGGCAAGCAAATGTACACCTGGGACCGCCGTGTTCAAGAGAGATCAAGAGAAAACGAAAGCCAGCTGCAGCCTCCATGTCCAGCCCAACATCAGGTAACCTAGATTTATCTGTGTGCCAGCATTTCCAAAGTAATGTCCCTCCTGAGCAAAATACCAGAGTCACAAGGGTCAAAAATAACATTACCTTCCTTTGAAACTAATTAAACGTGTATGAGAAAGGCAATGTGTAGAGAATATCATGAGTTTTTGCATAGCATCAAAAGCTGCCTACCAAACAAATCTTAGATGATGCAGCTATGGTAAGTTAATATAATTTACAGTGCTTCACTGTACAATAGGTGATAATCTGTTTCTTCATCAGGTGTTATTTCCACCATTCCTAAATGATGCAGTACATGGTAATCAGGAGGTGATGAGTATATAGAGTGTATTTGTTCAGTGCTGGGCTGACATTAGCTGTTGGCTCTGATGCCCTTTTTCAGAGTGTTTCTAAACACTTCCACAAGAGCAGATATCTGGCAATTTTTATATCATCACTGGGTGAGACCACCTATTCCCTGGCAGTTGTCTTACTCTTGTGGGTGAAAATAGTAACTTTTTTTCTTTTTCTTGCTCTGGGGATGTAGTGAATAAAATGCTGATTTATTTTCACGTGGCATGTTTCTGGAGAGTATTTGATTACTCATCAGAATCTGAAAAAGTTTTAATCTGCAGAACACAGAGGAGTTTAGGAGAATTCTTTCTGGCTTCTCACCCTACCCTCTCTTGAAATATTTTGCCTACTATCAAGCGACCCATGTTCTTCCAACTAGTTTATTAAAAATCCTATTGTTGTAATCCAGTAACAAAGTGGTGAGTAAGATGATGGGAAGAATGATGATGTGAAAACAGTGGGGGAGGCCAAAGGATCTGATGATGAGTAGGAGGAACGAAGTTTGGATTTCTTCCTTGGGGTGGTGGATAGACGGTAGAATAATGAAGTAGGGAGAAAAGTTGTGTTACCTCTTCAGGCCACAGATCTGAGTTACAGACTGTCTGAAAGGTTCTGTATTAAAAAAGAAGAGAAAAGAACATTAAATTAATAATCCGTTACTCAGCAAAAGTGTCATCTTTATTGACTGCTGATTTAGAATATTCCTTTCTGGCTTTTGAATATTCCATGGTAGGATATCCAAACTTCTGTAGGGGAAAGTGTTAGTGAAATTGTAAATTCGTAGTCACAGTATTTTAGTTCTAGGATACCAGATTTTCTTGGTACAATTGCTAGTGTCTCACTGTCTCCTGTTACCTGTCCATTTATTTATTGTTTAGAGTGTACTCTGTACTGCATCACTGGTCACTTTGTATAGGGAGAGCTTCTATTTCTATGCCTACATGTTTCAAAACATGTAAATTGTACTTACCTGACTAGGCAAATTGTATAGTGAACACTTTTTGAAGAGTTGAATTTGCATCTGGAGTGGAACTCAGCACTGGAAAACAGCACAGAGTTTTGAAAGGTGATGGTTATTTGGGTTTTTTTTTTTAGGGACGAGGGAGAGAAAATTACAGTATGTATTACAAAACAAGGAAGAAGAGTGTAGTTACTGGAATCCAGACAGGATGCTTGTGTTGATCATGAAGAGAAAAGTGCCTGTAAGGTCTTTAATGGTCAGAAATGCTAAAGATCTCTTCCTTAGATCCTGTTTAGAAATATCCCCAGCGAAGTTAATAGCTTTGGGCAGAGTTTGCTACAATACTGACTTGTGGAAAGAAACTTTTATGATTGGGTAACTGAAGCTGTGTCCTAGCTGACTTTCTGCAGCAGTCTTCCAGTTGCAGCTGGAGCACAACCTGGGCATGTAACTTGAAAACTTCTGAAATCTGATATTATTTCTGTCAAATGGGGTCTGACTGTGGAATTACTAATGCCTAAAGAAATACATAGGATTACTCTGGAATAATGTAGAATTAACTGAAGACTCTTATGCTTGTTAGGCATTGATGAGATAGGTATAGATTTTTCTCCCTTGCTATGCATCTACTTAGCCCTACATAAATGTCTTATATGGGAGGTTCCCCTGTACCTGAGGAATCATGGCAGCCTTGTTTTCTCACCACAGCAGCTTTTTGTGTTTGTGCAAAAGATGAAACAGGTGAATCGGAATGGAGACCCATGCCTGTCACTGCAGGCACACAGAGTGCTGAATTTCTTCACCTTTAAATAGCTCCTTAGCTGAGTCCAACTGCTGTCGTCTCACTTGTTGACCAGGTCCTGCTTCAGTGATCTCCTTTTTTGCAACCTGAGTGCCCCATGGAGGTGAAGGACACAGCCTGAGCTGGCTCCATCAGTCAGCAGAACAAATGGGCTTGCTCTGCCGAACATCGGGCCATCTCGGATTCCACCTCTTTTATAGAGATGAGTGATGAAGAGGGGCTCGTTCCGCTTTGCCGCTGTATTAATACCCATCAGGGGCCAGCTCCCGGCACTAAATCATGCTACTGCATACATCTGTTATCGGACTCCTCACCAATGTGATGAACAAGACTGCAGATAGAGGCTTCCTCATGTCATTCTTTATAGGATTTTCCTAAAAGAATAAATAGCTCAAATCTCTGCCAACACTCTCCCCTGTCATTGTGATGAATTTAGCTTCTTTCTTAAACATGCAGCTACAAATCTTCCCCTGTCGCCTCACCCCTCCACCATCCGCAGAAAGTTTTGAGTTGAATTTGGCTGAAATCGGAAGATGCTAATAAAAGGCATATGAGATGTGGATGCTATCTCCCTTCTAGTTGCAGGAATGAGAGAAAGGAGCTAGAGATATGTTTATTTGAGAGCCAAGCAAACTAAGTTTATTCCATGTCTTCTCACATACTTTCATGAATGTGAGTATTTATGGGTTGTGGTAAAGCATCTTTTGTCAGAGACCCTTGTACGAACATTAAAAAGCATCCATTACTGTAGCAAAAGTGCCTAGGTCTCTATTGTATTGTTATAGCATTAAATGTCTCATGTTATTCCTGCCTTTTGAGGCTAAGTGGCCTAAATACCATAACTGAGATAGCTGTTAAAGAATAGCATTTTGGAAAAAGTCCTGGCTGTTGAGAGCAACGAGAGAATTCAGAAATTGGGAAGAGAATTCAGAATTCATTTGCTCTTCAGGAAGTGACTGTTACCACATTAAGTTGGGCAAACTTATGCAGATGTTGAGAGAGATTGAAAATGAAAGTGCTTTCCACACTACGCAACTGAGCAGTGTGTGAGCCCTAAAGCATGAGACTTTTACCAAGTAAGAACAAAAGTCTGGCTGGTGTAGTTTGGCAGTAGAATAAGGAAATCTGGAGGAAGTAAGACTGGCTGTACTGGATTAGACCAGAAGTTCATCCAATCAGTGACCAACGGCCAGTGCCTAGGGAGGAAGAAAGTCTGTAGTGATAAAGGTCCTTCAAACTTTCAGTGACTTAGGGACTTCAAAAGGCAAAGATAGTGTCCTTGTGTTTAGTTATTCTCCACTGCAGTGCGATAGACTTGGAATAACGTCCTCAGTGGCACAGTAGAGCTTGTCTGAGAAATACTGTATAAAATGTTATTCTCATGGTGGTTATTCTCTGGTTTGAAAGAGATCTGATGAAGATTGTCATGTTTGTCTTATGTTTGTCAGAATAGGCCACAAGTATAGATGGTTGTGAAATAAATGGTTAACAATTATCCAGCTTTACATTGATGTTTTTAATGTTTATGTGGTCCGGTCCCCTATATACATAGCAATGCACATGGTAACTGGCATTCTGTTCAGATATTACAGTAAGCCTGGGGTAAAAATCTGCATAAATAAGTTTTTGTTTTGTTTTTGTTGTTTTTTTTTTTTTGTCTGCCTTGGCAGGTATTCACACTTAGCTTGTGAAAAATAATAATTTCCAAAAGGTGCCAGTTAGCAGACTCTGGAACTGCTTATCAGAGAACAGTCTGATGAGTAGTAGCAGTTTGGTGGATTTTCCCTCTCCTATTTCTTGCTAATCTATTCACTCTTTGTCATGTGTCATGGTGTGATGGTACCCAGCAACAAGAAGCCTGTTTCAGTCTTTTGCTTTTTTATTTTTATAATCAAAGACGGAGAGCCTGAGTGAGGAGGCTGCTAGCGAGGGGCCTGTAGTGTAGTATTGGTGGTGATTAGTAGTTTAAGGACTTTGGCTTTTTTTTTTTTTGCATATTTCATATGACCTTCAGATGGAGGAAGTTGATGGGCTAGAGGTAAAATATGCAATGTCCTGTTATCAGCTGTGTTGTGGTGGTTGTATGGGAATGACTCACTGTTTTGGATGTACAGAAGCAGAATTGTTGGGGTTCCAGATCTACTGAGTGTGGAACCTCAAGCATCGAACCAGCTTTTTACTTAAACTTCAAAGCAATCAGTCCTCTAGTTGAGGCTTGTCATGGCGTCTTTATCCTTCATCCACTACAGAGCAGCAGATGCAACGTGTAATAAAAACACATAAACAGCTATTATCTGTTGGGAGAACACAATGAAAAAAAGGTGTGTTTTGTACTGAAGCAGTTATTAGTTCCAAAAAATTCTGGGTGCCCCAAAGACTCCTGTGGCAATTACTCTTTATCCTGCCCTATTCTGCTTGTGAGGATTGAGTGATTCAGGATACTGAGAATGGGAGTAAACTCTGACAGTCTTCTGGAAATCTGAGTGACTATTGGCTTGAGCTATGGATCTGCAAACTGCCTTGCTATTTATAGCCTGTCCTATTTTGAAGCAGTGGTTGTATTGAGAAAGTGAGAATGGATTCCTACCTAGCTTAGCAAGTAGCTTCTTGTTATAATATGCTGATTTACTGTATTGGATATATATGGAGGTTCATGGTACTGCCTTTACTTGGTAAGGAGGAGAGGTATATTTTCCTCTTTAACTGAGCTTTGCAACCTGAAATCTGCCAAGCCTTCAGAGACTTCGAAATTCTTAGATATAGGGTTAATTGAGTCTTTGTGTTATCTTGAGTGATTATAAAATAATTCAACTGAGTATGGGACAGCTGAAGCTCTTGATTTTCAACAGGAACTTTGACTAAGGGAACTAGTTAAAGGACGGCGAATTTGGAGTTCTGAATGTGAGAATAATTACGGCAAAGTTGTTAATGCTATCAAGAACCTATGTTTCAAAGGAATTTGGCAGGAGAACTTGTAGGAACTCAGTAAATAACACCTTCATATAGGAAAGGATATATATGAGGTCTTTGCCATGAAGTCATTTGTTCTAACTTTGTTTTTATTGCCCTTTCCTACTCTCTTCCTCTGTTCCCCCTTTCCCGCAATTTTATATTTCAGCAACTTTATCTGTCCACATGGATGCAGCAGAGTCAGAGCTACCAGCAACACCATCCCTGAGATCCCAGAACTCTGAGTGGACAGGGAAAACACCAGCAGCTGAGAAAGTCGCTATTGCTGCCTCCAGTAACTTTTTTAAAATGCCACCAGAGAAGAGCCCTGGATACAGCTAAAAGGAAGCACTGCAACTGTAGAAGCTTGCTGGAATTTGGAAGTGTTTGACTGTAGTGTGTGTCTTCACCAAACACCTTGTTTGGCAGTACTGATACCTTCAGTATTGGTGCGTGATGCGTGCCGTCATCCAGACTGATCTGCGTGCCCCACGTACCTAAATCATGTTTGTGAATCTGTGTTTAAAAAAAGGTAATCAGCGTTGGGACTGCAGTGGCTTTTAAAAATGTTCTTGCTATTGCTGTATTTATTATGCATCCATCTCCTTCCCTGAGGCCAGCGCATATGTGCTGGGTCATGTACAGATTCTTTTGGGTTTTCAGGTCTTTATTCACCGCCTGGACATGTTGCTTGTTTGTGCATTTGGCATTTTTTGGATGAAAGTCCCACTGCTGCTCAGGGACGCAAAAGTCTCCCCCTGCTTTCTTCCAGGCCAGAAGGATTTCTTGGCTGGGGAATAAGGAGGGAATGCAAACAAGTTGAAATATGGAACCTGAGTTCTGTATAGCAGAATGTTTTCAGGCCCTGTGCTAATGGACTCGAATCATGTTGCTTCTAGCAAAGCAAATACGGTGCTTGTCCATTCAGAAATTGCCACTGACTCACTGGCAGCATGATCCATTAGACCTGTTCCTTCTCCCTTGTTCTGAATGTCTGTAGTCTTGCTTGTGTATTGCATGTTCTTTCCAAAATGTCCTACTGGATAAGGGTTTGGGAGAACTACTTGGACATAAATGTGCAAGCTGGTGTCCTGGAAAGGAACCTGGGCCCTTGAATATCCTTGGAGTATGGTAAAGGGTATACAAATCTTCCATTTCTTGGTGTATAAATTAAAAAATGACGGCGTTTCGAAAGGATGCTTGCCATGAAAGTTAATGTGCCATTGAACAAAAAAAGTCATTTAAAGTATCAGCTGAGTTCAGAGCGTTTTGGGTATTGATCAGATCCCTTCTGTACCATGTTTCTCTCCCTTCAAAAAGTATTGTCTGCTCTGTCTACTGGAGGTGTCTTCACCTACTCATGATTGTACTTTACTCTGCAGCATACACAAAAGAGATTCTCTTCTCTTCATAGCACTTCCACTTTGTCCCGTTACTTTGTATGTTGCAGAATGTATGGATAGTGATTTCTTCCCTCTCTTTTCTTGAAATCTTGATCAAACTCCACTTACTTTTCTTGAATTACTCTGTCTGGACCTTATTTTGGGCTATGTTTTTAGAATATATACCTGCATAGCATGTGTCAAGGAACAGGTAGCCTCACAGCTTCTTAAGTCCTTTAAAAATAGGATATGTTTGTGTGCATAGAACTCTTTTTGCTTTCCTCACTGGGTGGACCTTTCAGACAGGACCGTTTAAGCTTGTAAAATTCATTTTGAATGTGGAGGTGCAGCTAGCACTCTTAAGTAGATAACAAAATTTGCATGTTTTTAGTGGTTTTGCAGTGTTCTGCTCTCTGTTATAAATCAAATAGCTGAGGGACAGATTTGATTGTGAGGATATAAAGCAATGATTTATATTTAACTCTGTATTAAAATGTTAAATGGTCATAACATACATGAAACAAAAATTGAATGAGTCATTAAATCATGATTGACAAATACCGTTATACTACAGACACACTGTCCGTGTCTGATCCCCTAATACCTACTTATTCTTAGGGAGAGATCCAAATTGGATTTATATTTTGCAGCTCCAAGCAAACTGTCAGATCTGTCATTGTAAATCCCTCAAAACCCTTTTTTTTTTTTTTTTTGGATGGTGGCACATTTTAGAACTAATTAGAACAGGTAAAGCCTTTTTACCTTGCTGACGGAGCACAGAGGTCAGTTTGGATTACAGGACAAGCTCTAAGGGTTTTGTGGAGAGAGGAGTGTTCCTGTTTTAAAGTAGTCATTGGATTGTTTTGTTTTATAGATATTTTGAGCAATGGTGCTTAAGAGGTAGTCAGGAAGTCTTGGCACTGGAGGGCCTGTAATCTAGAACATACACAGGGAAGGTAAACCTGAAGAGTAGTAGCTTGTCCCTGGCCAGGGACATCAAGGGCAACAAGAAAGGCTTCTATAGATATGTCAGTGATAAAAAGAGATCTAGGGAAAATGTAGGCCCTCTCTGAAAGGAAACAGGGGACCTGGCCACCCAGGATATGGAGAAGGCTGAGGTTCTCAATGACGACTTTGCCGCAGTCTTCACTGGCAAGAGCTCTAGTGGCATGGCCCAAGTCACGGAAGGCAAAGGCAGGGACTTTTTTGCTTTCCTCACTGGGTGGAGGAGGAAAGCAAAAAGTTGAAGCAAAAAGGTGAAGAACCGCCCACTGTAGGAGAAGATCAGGTTTGAGACCATCTAAAGAACCTGAAGGTGGACAAGTCCATGGGACCTGATGAGGTGCATCTGCGGGTCCTGAGGGAACTGGCGGATGAAGTTGCTAAGCCACTATCCATCATATTTCAGAAGTCGTGGCAATCTGGTGAAGTTTCCCAATGATTGGAAAAAGGGAAACATAGCCCCCATCTTTAAAAAGGGGGAAAAAAGAAGATCCAGGGAACTACAGGCCAGTCAGTCTCACCTCTGTGCCTGGCAAGATCATGGAGCAGATCCTTCTGGCGACTATGCTAAGGCACATAGAAAACAAGGAGGTGATTGGTGACAGCCAACATGGCTTCACTAAGGGCAAATCCTGCCTGACTAATTTGGTGGCCTTCTATGATAAGGTTACAGCATTGATGGATAGGGGAAGAGCAACTGACATTGTCTACCTG